GTAAAAGGAACATGAGATAGAGCCCTTTAGGCCAGTTACCTAATTGCCTAAAGTCAAATTTTTATTATAGAATAACTATGCAAACACGCACATTGTATTGTACACTTGGGTACAACTATAACCTTCATCATGCACGTAGTTGTCTGTATGAATCATTGTTAAGGTCTTAAATCTATATCAGTATTATAGAGTCATAATATATTATGACTGAGGTTATGTAATTTTCACAGAATAACTCACTGAATCATCCCCCAAAATAAAAACACACTAATGAAATGTAGTGTGTTTTTATTTGTTGGAAATCACAGAAACTATTGATCGCTGAGCATGTACTGGCCATGGAAAGCCAATAGTCAGTGTTTTTGTTTGTGTGCGTATGTGTAGTTTTTTTAAAATCACATTGCCCCCTGTTGCAAGAGTGAAATCAGGAATCAAATATTTTAGCCCTTCAACACTCTATTTTTTGAATAAGCAGAAATTTAATAACACAGTTTTACAGATAAGCAGTTAAATACCAACCACTGCCGTGGGTGATGGTATTTTATTTGCAAAATTGTTAACCTACTGTAACAGTTTTTAAGTTTTCCTACATAAGTAGCAACTCCACACATAATGCAAAATAATAACTAATTTCCCCTAAAGACAAACTTGGGGGAAATTCTACCTGGCGGTGTGGCAGACACAGGGGCGTCCCCATATCCGACTGCAGGAGCAGGGCAGGCGGGTGTGGGGGCCGGGCCTGTGCCATTGACGGAGGGCTGCAGACCCAGGGATCCTTGACTGGCCATGGCCGTTGGAGGGACTCCAGGGGAGAGGCCAGGACCAGCCAGGGGTGCTGAGGTCTGTACTTTCACTTGAGCCATGCTCTATTCCTGAAAGCAGAACAAATTTGAAAGCTTTTGTTAGACATACACTTACTACACTGTAATTATAACTACTGAGTAGTTTAAAAATAAAAGAAAATCAATATTCATTCACTAGCAGTACACAATACTGCATTAAGCATCTGTGAGTCTGAGCACAAATGCACATGCACAGTTTAAAGCTAAATGTCATTTGACAGATTTCTCTGGGCTAAGCCTGGAGAACAGACTTCAAACTGAACAGCCCTAGGCCTATCTCACATTCTGATCCACTGGCAGCTAATACACCCAGACAATGAACCTTTATTTGAAGGAGCTTTGCTCATGTTACGGCTGAAAAAACTCCCTGGCAAAAAGGAGGAATCCGCTGGTTGTAGCCTGAACAATGCAATCTATATTAAACCACATTTTGAGGTACACAGCCCATTATCAAACAAATAAGGGTCAACAAATATCAAACAGCAGAATGAATTGTAGTATTCATTTATCTCTTAAAATATGCATGCAATATTTAGCAGAATGCAATTAGACACAGTACACAGGCTGTGACTGTGTAATTTATGTAACATAAGCATATATTGCTACTGTGTGTTTTTGTCTAAAAAAAAAAAATCTTGATTAAGGTGATAAAAAAGTCTATAAGATAAAAAAAACAATTGCTCCAAAATGGCTCCCACTTTTGAGTCACACAAATAAGTGGCAGACAGTGATCGGAAATGAAGGAAATACTTTGAGCATCCCCACAGAGGTCAAAACAAAAGGTCAAAGCTGAGCTGAACCCCTGGAGTTTTGGAGAAATTCAGTGTCATCCCTTGGACACTGCATGAAATGCTAGCTTTGAACATGGCACATTCAGGTTTTTAAATATTGCATATCTGATTTTGCAGGTGTCACCTCTCTGTATTGTTTAGGGACCATGTTTGAACTGGTGTAAACATCAGCCAAGTTTGCACGGTCACAAAATAGCTAATAAGGTTTAAATGCACCACAAATGATGCATCTCTTACTGTAATATGACTTTTATTCATTGCATGTCATGAAGTTATTCCTGTTTAATTCGTAGGTGCATCATGCCTGCCCGTGGGGTACTTGTGGTGATAGTCCCTCTTGCTTTTCTTTTTACGCTCTCACAGGAACATGCACAAATACAGCGGCAAACAGCTGCCTGTTTGCACGGCTGTCTTTCACTGCAAGTTGAACATGGGGGTTGTGTTACGTTGGGGTTGACTGGCAGAGCTTCAGTGCTGTCTGCAACCCCTGAACATTCATTACTGTGTCCAGCTTAGCAGGAAGCTAACGTTGCCAACAAGATATACGCAGTTTCTTCCCAATGTCAGCTCCTAAAAACACGCAGACAGAATAGGCAAGCATGCATGCTGTCATGAATATGCCTTTATGGTTTCCCCAGATGAATAAATCCTATCTAGCCACCCCCAGTTGCGATACTTTAGCCGGTTAAAGCTCATCATGGCTGATCGGCCGAGCACCCTTCTTGCTAGCATCTCCAAACCGCCCCATCCTTCTCGAAATTCTGGGGATTTTCAGTCAACCCTAATATCATATACGAGTTGGCGACAACGTGGCAAATAATCCACAGAGTATCCGACAACTATGGGAAAAATATTTCAGGACATTTTTTTACCTTTATCCAGGGCCAGACCCCAGTTACACCTCCAACATTGGCAAACACTAAAGAGAACTGGATGGAAGAGGAACCGACCACCTTATTTGTCTGGGTAAAAAAAGAAATGAAAATACGTGTCACTGGATTCAACATGGCGTATCCATGTAATATTTCACGCATAAAGCTTGTGTTTAGCTAACCTTGTTGTGGCTGCATATCGCATATCGCTAACGTACTATGAGTGGAGTTTGAGGTGAATTTTGAATGAAGCCACCCCCGCCGCGGTAAGGATGGTTCAGTCCTGGTGCGCTTCCTCGGATCCCACAGTGTAACTTTTGATTCAGAAACAAAATTAATATTTCCAAAGTTGTTTTGCGCACATTTGTATCACCAAATGGATTTTTAGTCTTATTCGTAAGTTTTGCATTTTACAGGTCCGTGTTTCAGTGAAACCTAAGGTTTTGTGCTAACGCTATAAAATATAGTTTTACTTGGAATATTTCCCCAACCATCCATTGGGAATTTTCTCTATTTGATTAATTAGAAAATTAAAGCAAACCCTCTGAGTGTCTCACAAACAATCTAGTCAGAATTCTGCATCAAGCTTTATTTGGAAAAGTCCACGCTGGGGTGGCACTGTACTAATATGAGAAATTAAAAAAAAAAAAAGATAGCTAGGGGTGGGTGGGTAACCTACATACACTTTACATTTAACAAGGAATAGATAACCATAAAGGGGAAATATCACGAACTGCTAATCCCCAGATTTGACAGCTAAAGCGTCTCCAATAGAGGGCGTCACTAAACCACTTCTCCCTGTGTTATTGTAGACAGAAAAATATCCAACAACAAATAGAGCAGTATAAAAAAACATAATTCAAGCAAAATAAGTGAAGTAAGTAACCTGATAACAGATTTTAATTTTACTTGGCCAAACGCATGTATATCTATTGTACAATCTGAAATTACCCTTTCCCCCTTTGTTTTTGGCTGAAATAATTTCTCACACCATAACGGACCAGTTAAAAAAATACAAAACAAAAAACAAAACAAAACACAAGCTTCAAATGAAAGCTCCATTGCTTTCAAAAGCGTCAGATCATCAGTTTTCCTGCCACACTACAGCTTTATCTTTGCGCATGTTTCACAAACCTTGTGCAATTCCACAGCCACGCCTTAGATCTGTGCCATTCACTTTTTACAGACAGATGGAATTACATGCTTCTGAAATATGCAGTTTATGTAATGTGTCACTGTCACACATTTATCTTCTTTCGCAATTTGGTCATCAGCCTTCTGCCTTCAGAGCAGAACCACTCAGTTTTTTGCAAGCTATTTAAAAAGGAGAAGAAAAAAACCCCATACTGTTCAGACTGAGGTTGAATAAAAGTGAATCTTTGTTTTTATTATTGATTATGAAAATGAACAGGCACCTATTACATGGAGCTTGCACATCCCAGAACAAAATTTCAAATATAAATAACACACCCTTATTAGTGTTGACCACTCACAACAACTTGCAAGCTAAGAGTTCAAACCACATTAAAAAAAAAAAAAGAAAGAAAAAAAAAAAAAAAAAAAACAAAAGGGAAAAAAAAAAAAAAAAAAAAAAAAACCAAAACCCGGAAAAAAAACAAAAACAAGGTTAAAAAAAAACAAAACAAAACAAAAAAGCCTTTATTGATCTATTAGGCGTCTCTCTGCACTGATGCTGCTGTGACTACATTTACACAATCAGTGTTTCAGTCAGTCTTATTCTCGAAGCAGTGATAGCAGATACAACCTTATACAATGAAACTAATAAAAAAAAATATTGGTTAAATAGATGTCCTTAAATTATCAATATAGTTTTGTTTTTAAATCTTCTTCAGATAGCCGTGTGCTGTGGTAATCTCCTCTACAGAATAGAGCATCATCACATTCACGCATGTTCATTCAAGAAACTCGGCTAGACCCTGGAAAAGGGAAAAAAAAAAAAAGAAAGAAAAAAAAAGTAGTAGATACAAACAACTCAAGATGGAAAAAAATTCAAGTATCTCTGACTGGATGGCGATAAACATGACTTTAGGAATGGAGTGATTACACTTTGAAATGAGCACAGCCTCTGGAGGTGAGCACTGTTAGCATCCATCCTATAAACCGTGACCTCAGTTATGGAACGACTAAAAGTTGCCACAATGTTAGATGCCAATAAGAAAAAGTAGGGTTTGAAACTGCATGCACCCCTACTGTAAAACTACCTTTTTTTTTTCCTTTTTTCCAAAACCAGCTTTACATGTTTGTTGCTGACCGAACACAACCTAATTGGCAAAAGATGCAAAGTTCCAATGAAATAAAGCACTCCTATCATCATTCTGCTATAAAGTTAATGCATCCTTTGCCAGGTTCTTGCACATCATCTAACAATTTAAAGACGCATGTATGTACAGAATAGTTTCAGACATGTTACAAGTTTACAACATAACAGTCTCTTTTGGTGAAAATATAGTTAAATTCAAAATCTCTGATAGGTGTCTTTTTAGAGGTGATCTCTTTATTGAAAAAGTACCTGAGCCAAAACTCTGACCAGGGGGAAGAGAGAGAGAAGGAAAGGAAAAAAAGTATTGTCTTCATACATTCTAGAAAGACTTTGTCATTCTAGAGATAAAAATGATTTAAATAACCAAAAAAAAAAAAAAAAAAAAAAAATTCAAAAACATACTGACCCGTCAAAAGCACCCCCTTTTCAAAGTATCAACTAGTTGGGATAACAAAATGCCAAAAAAAAAAAAAAAAATTCAAACATTTCAGAAGATTAAAGCATGAAATAATAATAAAAAATATATATCATACAAATACAAATGGATCATGCGATGACATTCTTTAAATGGAAGAGAGGCTGATGCACGTCTTAAAAGGCTGGACCAGAAAAGTTCAGCCCAACTTTATGAGGAGACAAATGCCGAGGTCACTGGATGACTCCTGGATCTACTGTCACGCCTGTGCTATTCCCGTGTGTACCGAATTTCAGTCCGATGGCAGGAAGAACTGCAACCAGGTCTTAAGAGTTGGAAGATGAAGAAGAGCGCGTGTGCTGTCGATACAGTGGTTAAAAAACTAAAACCCTTGAACCTGATAAGCATCAAGGACTGCTTACAGTACACCTGCAAGTTGGGAATAACGTAATAGTGCCTTTTTAAACTAGATACCATCACAGTGCATGTAGTACTACTACTAATAATAATAAAAACAGATGAAGCATTTTCTTGGGGTTTTGATGGTCAAATCCCTTCCAGAAGACTGTTTGATTTAGATCTCTCTTTGTAGGCCCCAGCATGCATCCACCGGTTATTATTGCACAACACAAGGACCTTAAAATGCAGCCACACACAAACAAAAAAAGTAACAATAATAATCTTAAAAGAGGAATTATAAGTATCAGTACAAGTCTGCCTTACTTGCTCGCTGCATTGTGACCTTTTTGCCTTCCCCCCAAAAAACGGATAAAAAAAACCAAACAAAAAAACAAAAACAAAAAACCACACACACAAAAAAGGAAGAAGTTCCATCTTGGGTGCAGCTAAACGTTCCGTTATTTTCTATTTTACAACCGACTAAAACATGCAGCCAAGAGCCTCCAGCGCATGGTGTCCATTGTTCCAGTCAAAGGTCAGAGTTCAAAGACTGAATGATTAAAAAGTGCTTTACGTAGGTCAGTAGGACTTCTCTCTTCTACCATTAATACAAAGTTTGTACATTAGCATGTATCATCTGTGAAGGCAAACAAGACAGCATGAAGATTAGAATTACAAGTAACAGGAAACAGACAAAAAAAAAGTTTCAAGTTCAGGAAGTGCTGAAAAAAAAAAAAAACTTTTTCTTTTTTTAAACTCACCGTGATACCACCATTTTGTTTTCTTTGGGTTTTTGTTACATGTTCTTACATAAAATGAGTTATCAGGCGGTCGTCTCTGCAGAAAACAAAAAGCAGCAATTAGATTTAACATTTAACACGTGCCCACAAACCGCTACCGCCCGCACCGGGTGTCGCACACTTACCTTTTCTTTGCAGCTTGACAACATGCTGATAATGCTAAGACAAACTGATTGCACCGAGAGCGCTGGCGACCAATCTTCCGTTAGGATAGATAGACAGATGTGACCGTTGCTATACACATGCGGGTGGACAGGTATATTCTCTCCTGTGAACATTACCTGCACAATGAAAGCAAAGCAGACCACATCAACACAACTGAATATGTACAAATAAAAATCCCATGAGGCTGGCGAGCTTTAACATCCTAAAGAAAGAAGACGCATAAAAAACAACTTTGGGGTGGTTGGGGGTTACATGTGTGGTCAAAGAGCCAGCTCGGGGATGAACTTTGGAGAAAGCTAAAACATTCATTCCCATCAATTAATGACAGCAAAATAATTAGACTTGCTGCAGGGTTAACCCGCTACTGCAGAGATAGCAAACTCATTTTACTTTGTGGGCCACATGTAGCGAGCTGGACCAGTGAAGCTTTCCCTTTCTTTATTGTTGATTTAGTGACCATTTTACATAGTGGATATTTTGTATACCTTGTACAGCACTTTGGTCAACAGACGTTGTTTAAAATGTGCTATATAAATACACCAATTTGACTTCTGTCGATGTAAAGATGCTTAATTATGGATTTAATCGCAGATATTTTAATGGAAGAAAAACAAGTGTAATGTCAACAGTATGTATCAGAAATGCTGATTAAGGCAAACCTTCTCATTGCTCATTGTCCATGTTGTAAAATGACCTTGTCAAATTTGTTTGAAAAACCAAAACCTTTTCTGTCGTTTAAGTCCACAAAGCTGATTCTGTTCATCTGGATGTCCAGTTTTCAGTGGGAGAAACATTTTTTCACTTATCCAAGTGACTTCTTAAAAAGTAATGAGATGTTTCCCCCACTGAAAACACAATGTCCAGATAAACAGCATCAGCTTTCTGGGATTTCCTTACTTGGATAATAGAGCACAGGGGAAGTCTTATCAGTAGGAAAAGCTGTAAGACTTTGGAAAACACAGTTAGTCCAAAACTTATGCCTTCTTTCACATCTTACTAAACTGTCCAGTTGGTCGGATTGAAGGCTTTGTCGGGCTGATTCTGGCCCCCGGGCCTTATGATTGACACCACTGCTCTACAGGGATATGAGGCTCTCGGATTAGGACAGAGGGGCCGGGACACGGTGAGAGAGAGAGGAAAAGCAAACAGCGTAGGGAGAGCTAGAGAGGAGATACAGCATGTTTTATAAAAAAGTAGACACATTCTATAAAAAGCACTGGGCTACATTTGACTTTAAAAAAGGCACAAGAGTGAGGGCCAAGCAGGAAGATATGGGAAGTGTGAGAAGCAAAAAGCCAGAGTCAGAAGTGCTAAAGCAGAGAGAAGGGGGAGCGGGTAAAAAGGGTAATGAAGGGTTGAGTCAGTCTGGCACCAGACCGGGCCTCACGGGAGAGTGCAGGCTCCACATCATGAGGGGGGGGGAAGGTGACTGATATGAATAGAAAGCACAGCTAGCTTTATAGTCTAAAGATCAAGACAAAAAAAAAATCTCTTAAAATATTTATTCAAACCTCCAAATCACACCAAGCCAACAGCGTCTGTAGGTAACCTAAATCTTCTATTTCACTAAGATATCTAGTCTCAGGTCCATGCTGTGCCTTGTTCTAGTGTTGAATCTGTGCTCACCACAAGTTTCAATATTTCTAACTTTAGAAAAAGAAAAACAGAAGTAGCCTCTGTTTTGTTTCATAAGGTGGGCCTCCAATTTGCATGTGCACAACTGCTCAGAAATCAGAATCAACCCAAAAAACAATAAAAAAAAAATTGAAAGCTTTTTATTAAACTCTCAATCATTTTTACCACAACTGAAAATTTCACAACTGAAGACGCAGCAACTTTTGACAGTTCAGTGTCTGGAACATCAGCCTTTCTGGGTTCAAGTTCAATGAGGAAAAAACACACAGAGGAAATTTCATACTAGTGTGTGTACCACTCTGTCAGCAAAGTGTCTCTAACCAGAACAGGTGGAGAGAGAGAGAAAAAAAAAAAAAAAAAGGTATGCAGCCCCAGTGAACACAATACCCATCTCAATGTGACAGTGAAGAGGTGATTTTAATGACACTAGGCAGAGCTTCAATGGAAAAGGCCAAATCTGAGACTAACCAATAAAAGAAAACCAATACTGCCAAACGCTGCATGCATTTGACTGAGAAAGGCTGGAAAATGGTGGTAAGATCAAACAATTCCACCTTTAAAGTGTTTC